AGAGATGGGTATAAAGTGCTGATTGAAAAAAAAAAAAAAAAGAGCAAAAGCATGACTTACAAAGATATATATACTCCTTGGCCATTAACAAGCATCTAAGAACTTCTGACCAAGAACATCTCCTGAAGCGGGATAACAACGGTTACATCAAAAATCTATTCTCTAAGGACTAACTTTATTTCTTAGCCTTGGGAGAACAGCAGTTCCAGAGAACTTTTTGAAAGTGCCATATTACCAAAAATTATATGTAAATGATAATTACTATGGGATGTAAAATATTTCTAAACATTAAAGAAGAAAAAGGCCAGAAATGTGTATCATGGGGGGAAAAAAACCTACTAGAAAATTTAACCAGAATACTTGAAGGGCTTCTTCCTTGCCCCTCTTTTTAAAAAAAGAATAATTCTGGATAAATAAGACCCGCCGCCAAGTCAGCTACAGATTTTAGGCACTTATAGCCGACAGTTCTTAATGCCTTGATAAATTTCAAGTAGAGGGAATATAGACAAGAAAAAGATATACATCCTTGACAAACAGCAAGCTGAACTACAATGCCAGTGGCCACCATTCCAGTCTAGGCAAAAACAGCAATTAAAATGTCAGCCGTTTAATGGCAATCTGGTCTAGTAGAAAAGAGCAAGCATCCACCCTTTCATTTGAAGAATGAGCCTGTCTTGAAAAAAAGGTTAATATGAAGTTATTGGTTGCCACAGAAAGCAGCTCGGAACATAACTTCGCCATGCCAAGAATGTTCTGGTATGCACATGCTCTGTCATATGCACACCTGCATGTTTTGCAGTCCCTCATTCTGCAAAACAGACATATTTCTGGTATCTTGGCTTTTTCCCAGAAATAGATCCTTCTAAACCTGTAAATGCCCCCTGACAAGCACCACATTTGATCCAAAGTTGCGGGAACACACATAAAAAGCCCAGCCCCTTTTGTGCATGCATCCCACTGGAGATCCTGTCAGTTTGGGCACTGGAGGGCAAACAAGCAAACAGACTTATCTACAAACCATACAGGGCAGAGCATTTTTTCATGTGGGGAAGATGGCAGCATAGCCCATAATACACAAACAGAAGGGGAGCGATAAGGATCCTAGTGTGGATCCTTCTCTCAACAAAATGCTTTGAGTGAACATCAGGAGTTGTTTTCAGCTCATGTGACCTTGGCTTGCCACCCACTCAGCACATCAACAAGCTAACTCTGGGTTCTGGATCTTACCATGGTATCTTGAGCATTTAGCATTTTTGCCACAGGATCTTGGCACCGATCCACTGAGGGCTGAGTCAGGGAGGCAAGGGGAGAAGTGTAGAAGGCGCATTCATCATTTAGACAGGCTTCATGGAAACGAAGGGGAGCAGTGAGGAGGTGATCCAACCGTTGCTTTGCAAGACCTATGGGGGCAAACAGGAGGAGGCATGGAACCCTGGTCAACTGCAGGTTCCTTGGTTACTGTTCTTCAGGCTATTTTCTAGTCTCTCATCTCCCTCCCCCATGGGGATCTGTTTAAAGCCCTCCAGATCAGGTTTGTAAGGCACTTTCCCAATACATTCTGCCCAGTTCTTGTAAGGAACAAAACATCTCTTGCCAGGAGTCCCTCATTTCAGAAAAACATCCCATTTTCAAGCACTCCAAATAATTCCCGTGGTCACCACATGCATAGCCACAGTTGTTCACTTCCAGTATTCTCCCCCCTTTTCCTGAGCCAGACCTTTTGAGAAAATACCATCTGCGCCCCCAGTTCTTTCACAACCCTTCATAGTCCCTTGCAGGGGCTCCAAGGTTCTTACTGGCCTTGTCATTTCTTCCTGAAGGGAGCAGTGGAGGGGGAGATCTGTCAGTAGGCTTAAAGAGTTTAGGAAGTCCTTCTGTCATACCTCCAAGGTGTGCCTCAGAAGCCAGCCTGCTCCTCTTGACAGACTGCCAAGCCGGCAGTGCTTCAGTATTCTCAGGTGGTGTCTCCAATCACTGGTGGAAAGGGGGTGCTTGGGTGGCAATCTTTAATCTTTAGTTAAAGCTTTACTTTTAACCTATGGACCTGGCTCTAACAACCTCTGGCAAACCCTACTTGTTCTGAAAGTAGACCCTAGGGTACTATTTCTCAACCTTGGCAGCCTCCTAGTGGGTAAAGGCCACCATTCCCTCACCCCCTCCACCACACCCCATCACTCCTATGTCACACTGACGTCGGTGCCTGTGAGTGC